CTCATCCAAATACATTGCAATTTGAAATTGTTAATTTGTCTATGAGTCTATGAGTATTATATGTTTATAATTGTTTTAAATGCCGCTTACTCATTTATGAGAAGGAACCAAGTAGAGGACACATACGTAGTTACTTTTATGGTTGATATAATCCTTAGGTGTGTAAATGTATAATTGCCTTTTCATTTTTTTCAGTTTTATTTAAATTTGTAGTTAAAATAACTAAAAATAAATGTATTTTAAAGTTTAGAATTAGACAGCCTTTGCACACAGGCTTATGCTGGTAATTCAGTGTGTGGACTTTCCTCCTTAATATTGGCTATATTTTTTCACACTTTTCTCATTCTATATTTCTGACGTTCCAAAAGCGCCTCCTACTGGCAGAGAATGAATGTTCATTTTCAATAATCCAGTCTGTAGTTTTTGTTCAGACCAATGCGAAAATCCACCCACATAACCCCGTTTTAAATTAATATAATAATTTATACTTCTGACTCACCCCTGGTTTAAACACTCAATTGTGAGGTTTATCATTTTATGATTTATTTTGTTTTTGTGAAAATCTGTATCTCAACTGTAAATCAGTTGCTATTTCGTGGTCTACAACATAAAAGAAAGCCATTATAACATGTACATGAAAAATATAGAAACATTGGACACAACTATGGGGCACCATTTCGCAGCAGCAAGCATCACAACAAAAAAAGGAACCTCAAGGTTGATCTAGGAAAATGTGTGCAAATGTATAGGGTCCCATTCCTATATTTTGCCTGGGGCCCCCAATTCACTAAATCCGCCCCTGCTCAGGTCTTTGTAAGGGCTGGATCCAGACTGAAGCTTGTGTAATTCCTAGTTACCACGGGATGCCAATCCCATGGCAGAAACAGAGAAGGAAATAGAGAAAGAAATTAGCATAGCTGCACCATCAATACACCATCAATTAACAGTTTCTTCCTCTGTTTCCAATTGTATACATCATCTCTGCTTGGTCCTTATCATATGGATATTCTACATTGAGGTATAAGTCATTTAATATTAAAGTGAGACAGGAAAAAACAAGTGCAGTGGGACAGCAGTATTAATAATTTAAAGCTATAGCCTTAGCAGCTCTCTCCTCTCCTCTTGTCTTTCTGTCAAATCTTTGAAGTCTGACCCAGAAAGCTGACAGGTTTCTGAATGCAAGCTAGCTGGCTCTGAACTGCAGATGTGTGAATGTAGCAAGAAAAAAAAAAACTTAAGAATTAATGCTTGAGGTACACGTATGCTAGAGAGTTCAATCAAACAAGCAACTGCTGGCAAATGACAGATTTTACAACCCATCCGTCCATTCAGCTCTTCAGCCACATCTGACAAGCTGCATTGCGCCATAGCGAATTAAAATCATAAAGCCTATACCTGCTGGAGAATTTTCTCACTCAGTTTTATCAGAAAATGAATTTATTCATTTTGTCAACACATGCATAAACTGCTGAGCTTCAGAAAACGTATTCAAAGAAAGCAAAATAACTCTGCATTTTGAATATTAAAGTGTTATCAATTCAAAGTACAGTTTTATAGATAAATTTCATTTTAACGGTTGCAAATCTTTTCCCTGTACTACAGGTATTAGAGCCTAACGCCCACTCCCACAAAGAGTAAAAAATGAATAAATAATAAATCTGTTTATTTGCAAAGCAGATGAACCATAGTAGTTGAGGCAGCATTTTTTCCTGCTGTCTTCGCTTGCAGCAGAACCAGCAGAAAGGAAACTTCCTACAGCCCATCCTGCCTATAAAATAATGATCAGCAAATGAAAAAGCAACAGGCACATAAGACAATATAGGGGGTAATGAGGTTTGATGTATTCTGACAGTCACCCAATGGCCTTCACTGGGTGTAGAGGTTGGAGGCACAAAAAAAAAAAAAATTTAAAAAAAAAATATATATATATTTATACCTCAGACCTTGTGAAATCATTGAAGGGCCCAGTTACAAATACAATATCAGTTGTTTGTTTAAAATAAAATCTGCAAATATTCTGAATACTGGAAGAATTAGGAGGATTAGCACAGGGATTTGCTTATTAATGTTAACTTTAATAGAAATACAATTTTGGGAATATGTGGAAATTATTTTCATTTTCATTTTCATTTTATCCACTACTTTAACATTTAACCAATTACAGAATCAATATAGGTATAATGATGTGTTAATAATTAGTACATTTTATCAGTCTTCTTACAGAACTATTTACTGACAATGGGTCATTTTAAAGAAATGGTTATTTAATTGCAGTTTTTAGGCCTGACTCCTGTGGTCAATTTTTCAGCATCCCTCTGAACTTCAAGCTGTATTCTATATCAATTTAGTTCACATTATTATTGCTATACGTAAACAAAGAGAATGCAACTTAGATCCACACGTTTCACTAAATAACTAGAGAGTCATGGAGAGACTACTGGAACATGTTGAGTCATCAGCCATGCCTCAAATGCTAAAAAGAAATGTAACCTATAAAATGACGGGGGATGGGGATATCTTTCCTAACCATTATGAATGGTTAGAATATTTAAGATTGGGTTTTCATTAATATCTATTATAAGAATTATGGTCTCATAATTCATTAGTAATGACTGTGTTACTAGATCCTTCTAAAGGAATTACTAGCTATTTGTAAAAGTATTCTAAAGTAAAGATCCTGGTATTGACTTAAGTGATACCAAATCCATCAGTAGGAACTACTATCCAAAACCTTACAAAAGCCTCAAAAGCTTAGGGGCTTAAGTCATTAAGTGCCTTTCATGCTTTTCATGCATTATGCATTATTTGCATTAATTATGAAATGGTATGTAGTTTCTTAATAGTTCTCTGAGAAAATAGCACTTACTGATTAGCTAACAGCGAATTAACACAATAAACAGAGTGCTATTACTTACTTCTTAATTAATTGGAGTTTGTTGTTAGTTAATAGAATATAAATATTGTATTACTCATTTGTTCCTGTGCAGTTATTCATAAATGTTGGAACAGTATTCTGAAGTGTTAATTATACTAAAACAAAGTAAATCATAACTGTATACTAACATGTTTTCGCAAACAAAAATAATTTGTGAATATCCATTAATTTTTGACATAATTGTTACATTAGGTATGTTGCCTATTATAACATAACACTTCAAATATAGTTCACAAAGTTCTTAGTGGAGTTAAATCACAAAGGACGGTCAGAGAATGCTTTAATCTGCAAATAAGGCAGGAGAATGAGTATACTTTAAAATTTCATTTGAAATTTCTTAGTTTTCATCTGTGATTTTGATCTGTGTCTTTGACCTTGTTCTAAGCTGACGTGCTGCGCCTCAGTTTACAGAGTGTATCTCTGTTTTGTTGCATTATGGAAAAGGGGAATGGAGTATTGGGATATTACCTGCATGAAAAAGTTACCACTCACCACTGGTTTTATGTATTCTGGAATACAAATGTACTAGAAATATATACCAACAACGCAAAGTTCTTCACCCATGTTCAAACTCACAGGATCACATTATATGAGATTGATGTTATCTGTGTTTTAAAAGTTTGATGGTATTACGCTTTTTCTATTTACATTAATTGTCACGACAGTCCCCCCAAGTTAGCTATGGTTGAGTGCCTTACTCTAAAACCTAATGGTGATAAGGAGAGTGCTATTAGAAACTCTCCTTTCATTAGATCACAGAATAGTGGAATAGGGTGAACAGTATATCGCACTGATTAAACTGAAGGCTGATTTAATGGACCGTGTCATTACAAAAGACTGCTGTTACAATTTAACATAAGGTGATCAATGCAAAAGGACAGTTTTTTGGTAGATTTGCAATGGAGCACTAAAAACAAGCTTTATATTCTCAGTCTGTCAAGTTTATATGATACCACATCCCTCCTAAAAATAAATGTATCAAAACAACAATTAATACACTCTAAAAAATGCTGGGTTAAATACAACCCAGTGCTGGGTATAATAGGGACAAACCCAGCAATTGGGTTGTTTTGTGACGTGACATGTGGCCAAGTATGGTGACCCCGCGGTTGGGTTAAATGTTTAACCCAACCTTCTGGGTAGTAACCCAACCGCTGGGTCAAAACAACCCAATTGCTGGGTTTGTCCCTCTTTTACCCAGCACTGGGCTGTATTTAACCCAGCATTTTTTAGAGTGTATTATTGTAATATGCTAATCATAGAATTTTGAAGAAAAAAAATAGATGCTGCATTTAACTGGTTTTCTGACTGGTATATAGAAGATATGTTTGGGGGGTTTGCTGGTAAATTGGTCTAGATGATTGATCGGTTGGACTAACAGTACTGACATTAGCTTGGTCTGATAGACTCTATCAAACCAGGTTAATGTCAGCCCTGATTGTCCAATTGATCAATCATCAAGACAAGCGAATTAGCATAAATGAGCGACGTGCTCAAACCTTTTATTAAGGTGCTGTGTTAAAGGAACTATAATGCTTCCTTGCATATAAAATTGAGAAATGTAGTGTTAGCCTGCTGATGGCTGGCAGAGAACAGAAATATCGAGAGGGCAATGCATGCCGGTAGGTGGCAATCCCACATCGATTTGTGCCAAGAAAGAAGGAGAAAAAAACATTACGGAGAAATACACGCATATTAATAAAGCCAAGTTTAAACAAAGATATCACACTGCTCTTTTTGGCTTATAAACGAAATGAGTAACTAAAGACTGCGCGCGCGCACACACAAATGCGCATCATTCAGCAACAGATGCATTTCAAACGCGCAAGTGTCAGGTTTAATATATCATCCGTCAGTCGCTGCAAATATTCCTTTCTCCTTAACCACATTTTCACTGACGGTGCCTCTTTCCGTGTGCTTACAATTTCTATTTACATTTTCTGACGAAACATAGAGCTGGCCAGCGCAACAGCGATTTGTAAGCAATAGGCTACGAAATGAGCAGAAAACTGCAGCGCCAAACAAACGTCGCTTTAAATGAGCCCGAGCTGAGCTGAGATTCACGAAGGGAAGGAATGAAGTTTAGTACGCTGACATTAAACGACAGATTTAACGAGAAGATCCCTTAGCAACACGAATTAAAACGTTATTGCTGGATGTTGAGACTCGAGTAGCCTATTCAGTCGAGCCGATGGTTCAACTTTGGGGAGGCTCTGCAGTGGACATCGCTCACGAGAAATGATGAAGGCGAGAGGAAGGAGTGCGCACTCAAGGAGGCTGTGAGGTGATGCTGTGACACATTCACCAGCATTCAGCGGAGTCAGCACGTTGTGTTGCATCTATGGACTGCGGTGGTGGATGTGGGCAAGATCTGAGGAGCATGGGGCCAGTATGCGTTGAAGAACGGCGGTGTATGGCGGTGGTTTTAAAAGGCACATCTCGATCAGAGAAACCTACCAAGTACTAACTCTGGATTTTACCCAAAGGGAGGCTGTTGATAACCCATGTGGTTTAGACATTTCATTCACGGATGTGGATACTAGGCTTATTTTATGTGTCCAGCACAACATATCAACGGTGGTAGATTTATCCCCCATTTATTTACAGATTTTTTTAGAAGATTTGTTCTCTTCCAGCCCCCCTCCCCCTTTTTTGCACCTGCTTTGCTTTGTCAAAGCTTACCGAGCGCTTTAGAGCGCTGCTTTTACTTGCATCTCCGTACATCGTGCATGGATTCTACATGAACTGGGTGTTTTGTGAGGGCTGCAGTGATGTTCCCATTTACTGATATCGCCTCACAGCTAACATTACCTGACAGAAATGGGTAAGGAACCGTAGCCTAATCTAACCAGTCTGTGCAGATCTATTTTAAAGCGAACCTGTTTTCTTAAGTTGACGGTGAATGGATGCATTTCATCTTTTGATCTATCTATCTATGCTGCAGGGGGTTATGATTTGCATTATTTCTGTGACTGTGATGTGGTAGATTTGGGGATATTTTTTCAGCTGTCTTCTGTTGCTCTACTTACCATTACTTTTGCTAGAATATGGCGTTGGGTCATTCATATTCTGTTCACATGTGCATTGCTATGCTCTAAAGAGACAAGGGGAAAGAGGCAGTGTATCCATGATGGTTGACACAACTGTTTCTCATTGCTTCTAATAGACCCCAGTGACTTTTGAGGCTTCCTGAATAGGCTACAGAATAAGCAAATGTTATTATTTAACAAATTGCATCATAACCATTTTATAATTTATTTCTCAGTGGGAAAAAAACAAAAAGTTCCTGGAAGGCTGTCAGCTCACACTGGTGCTAATCTGCATTTAACATTCAACCCTCACAAGGCTTTAGAACTTCACTAAGGAAGAGAGGTGCTGTAATGGACACTATAAGCAAGTTGGATTCATTGGAAAAGCTTCTGTGCCATGTATTGGTTTTTGAAAGATCTTACGTAATTTATGATGGATGATTCATGGATTCGTGGGTTGTTGCTTTACCAGTGGTGTTGAGGTTTGAGGAGCTGTCTCTTTTGGTAAGGTGCTGAAAACCATTACTGTTTATGGTAGGAAAGAACATTATTAGAATGTTAAATAAAATGGGCTGCAATAATTATCATTTTATTGTGTTATGTATGTACATAGATAACTATGCAAGCAAAAGTATTGGTTAATTTTGTTGTATAAAAAGTTCAATCAAATAAGACTTAAATGCACAAATTCATGCTTTTCATTTTCATGGATGTCCTTAATGCATACTTTCCTTCAAGCATTCTTAAGCTCCTAAGATGAAAGAGTTACAGAGCAGCAACAATATTTGACAATTTAATGCTTGCAGATATAATAAAGATTCTCTCTGTGTTAGATTAATATACTAAATGGGCTTTAACTTTCCCTTTCACTGCAAATAATCCATGACAGATGTTCTGAGCATTTTCAGTCCACTGTGGACTATAATCATCTTAGCCAGCTTAAATGGAAGCATCAAATAGCTCAATTACAGTATTTTAGGGAAAATTAATTCTCTAAAATTAAATGTGTGATTAAAATCACATATCCATTGGGGTCACGATTTAAAAATATATATATTATATTTGCAGTTCGCAAGAATCGAGTGCTACTGTTTCCAGTAAAGTATCTCCTGACAATCACACCTTTCTGTTGTGGAAACATTCTTTCTCTCTTTTCTGAGATTGTGACCTGAAATTAATTCTTGGACTGGACATTCCTTATCCCCAAGCTCTTTTTTGATTGATAATATGTCACAAGCAGTTCAAAGAAACAAGGTTGAATGTGTAATGCAGGCACTGGTGTGCTGTCATGAAGATGAGTGTTAATGTATTGAATGTGTCTGCTGAGCCAAAAAAATGCCAGATATCATTCAGTTCCCCTAAGGCAAAGGAGGAGCCTGTAAACGAGAGCATTTAGCTAATATCACACACATTAAACTCCGTAATCTTTGCCATTTAGAGAAAAATGAAGCAGTTGAAATGCTTCTGCCCACCCTGATGCTTCATAAAGACCATCTCTAATGTGGGTCAGGCTGTGCAAAATGAAAAAAAAAAAGTTTAATGACATAGACTGAAGAGATTGTATAGACTAGCTTCTTCTAAGGATGCAAAAGATGTACTAAAAACGATAAGGATTGCGCTGTGGCAAATTTGTAAATGTCATTTTTTTTCTCTCTCAGTACTGGAGTGTTAATGCAGTGAGGCCGAATGAATGACCGCTGATGTACTGTTCTCGGGTCAGAGGAAGTGCTGTTAGACAAGATATAATCCAGCCAGCAGTGGGCCCTGCTTCTGCCAAACACACAGCCACACAGGCTTTCTCTTTAAAACTGGTGTTTTATTAATCGCGCGGCATCCCTATTACTCTGTCCCAGCAGAAGTTAAAGTAACAATAGTACAATGATGGAATTTTAATTGGGATAAATGTCTGACTTCCTCTTTAGCTAAAATGTTTGACCTTTGGACCATTACTGTAGAATCGATAGCACTTGTTACAGTAGATGCATTCATGTTTATGTCTGCCATTGTAAAATGGCAACAATAAACATTAAATTCCTTTGTGGTTATTGATTACATGTATCTGTTGTGTTTGAAGACAATATCATACACTACACATCCCAAATAACATATTAGCAAAGATACACTATAAAAAATATATTTTTTGAAGTTGTAAATAAAACATGTCTTTTTCTACTTCAAAATTTCATGTTTAATTCAAAGTTTTACTTGCAGGTTCTTTGTAATTTTTTGTGTGAAATGTACTATCAATTTAAATTCAAATTAAATCCTGCACCATATTTTTTTCAGTAGTCAATCAGCTTAATGAAAAGAAAAAAAAAAGAATTACATCTTTCTGTTGAAATGCATTCTGCCAATGAATTAAAGAATCATTCTGCTAAAAATACTGGAAACAAGACTACAAGGCACAAGCTTGTAGCTTTGTTTATCCTGTAACTTTTAACAATCCTATATCTGACCTAATACCCAGGATGAAGAAACCCTCTGGTTTTTATGTGTTTTATTCAGGCTTTATGTTCATGTTTAATAAGGTCTCCAGAGGCAAATTCTTGCTGATGATAATTCTGGAATCACCAAAGGCTGTTGCTGGGTCATGTGGCCTCTGTGAATGCCTGTTCACATTACTCTTCTGTGAATTTGAACTGGAGCGAAGATATCTTGGTTTATTACCTGCAGTATGTTGGTTGTCACAGTAGATCTCCCTTAACAATTTAGACTGCGCTGAGGTGAATGTGCTCCTGGAATGGCCTAACCTGGTTTCCTTGCTCGTTGCCTACTTGCCTGCCGAGTAATATTGGGGTCATGGGTTCAAATCCCACTTGGAGCCATAGCAAAATTCATCAAGCATATATGTAATGAGCTACCCTGCATAGTGACACAAGCTAACAATTAGATCCATCCAAAATGGCTTCTTTTATAGACTCGTGAAGCTGTGAGAACTGATATATACTAAGCGCACACTATTGACGTTTTTTGCTCAAACACATTTTAGATCCTTCATCGTCTCTTTTATTATGTGATAGTTCAATGAATCAGTTGTTAATGTAGACATCAGTCTGTGATTTATAATTAGTCTGCCTGTGGTCACTGCAAGGAGCAGATCGCCTAATGTGAATTACATAAGAAAAAGATGTAGGTTTCAGGGAACAGGATGCAGCCCAAATGGCTACAGATAAATGATGGAGCGAACATGCTGCACTGGTTTTAGTTCTGCAGAAGATGTCTAATGCCATACGCGGATGCAAAACCCCTTTCTGACAGACATTTGGCACACTGGAGAGGAGTCAGGGTGTTGCACAGATGCATAGGAACGGAGGGGTTAGAGTTTGTGCATTTTGAATCTATGGAGATAGGTCTTTGAGCAGCTTATTAAGCAAACCTCTCATTTCAGTGAAAATGAAAATTGACTCCCATACCCTCAGGCCTCGGTAACTGTAATAAATGTCTGTGCACTTGAAATACTAAGGCTTTGCGTTTCAGTCAGAGCCGCCATAGAGATTGTGCTGTCACACAATAGCGACAGCCTCTGTGTTGATTGTTAATTCAGAAATCGTGTTGATTGTTAATTCAGAAATCCAATGTCAACACTATATCCTACAGACGCGCCAAATGGCATAAATTGTACTGTTCAGTGAGATTAGTCGGTGGAGACAGAGCGGGAGGTGTTCTCAGCTCAGCTTAGCTAAGCTTATAAATATGACTTTGCCTTGATTGCACTGTATGTTTGTCATCACTGCCGTGGAAGGCACAGTACAAATCTGGGTTGCTCATTATATTGGAACCCCTTTTCAAACAGCCACCCTCCCCTCCCCTAGAGGATGTCTTCTTCCACTCTCAGCATATTTCAGATATGGGAGAGGAACTTGAAGACAGTTGGCTTTTTCAAGCCTCTCAGATCATTTGGCCTGGATTCACAAACAGAAGTGTGTCAAAGAGATCCGTGTCTTTGAGGCTGATAAATCACAGACTTCCTAGAATACATACTGTTGTGACAGGGTCCTGGGTCGAAGCTTGTTCCACAATAAAGACATTTGCCAACCAACAGACTCTCCTAATATGATGGCAGAGGCGGATATAGATCGAAACAGCTTGACATCTCGGCAGACACATACTGACACATACTGCTATCCATGAGACAGCATCTGGACAGAGTGGTTGAGTAGCAAATGCTGTAAGATGTAAATACATTCACTCTGTCTTGATGCTTTTGGCTTAGGTTATCAAATTGCCATTTAATCAAAAAGCATCTATTATCTGTTTGTCTGTTTGACGTTCTATGATACTATTGTCCTATCATTTTATTTGTTCCTTAAGGCCTATAACACTTCAGATTTTAAGGCTTTTAAAACTTTTCAAATGTTTTTGACAAACTTTTCTAATAAAAAAAATTGTAGTCATAATTTCTTTGAAACCTTAAGTCTATTACCTTACTTTCAAATTCAAATTGCAATTCTGTACCTCTTTTAAATTCATTGAAAATTGAATAGGCTTTCAATTCAATTCTAAAGGGAGATTGTTCAGATCACTGAACAATTAATTTCTTGTTTACACCAGATTTTTATTCAAGTAAACGGCACGTGTTTTGGCATATGTGTGCAAAAGAGCAGAGTACAATTTTCTTCAATTTGCACAATAACTAAATAGCTTGCTTATCAAAATTGATGAGTTAGTTCTCAGTCATAATCTTCACAACTTCGAAATATTATTTCATTGTCTAAGTCATCACATGCAGAATGATTCAATCATTTATCAAAATTTGTCAGACATACATGTACAGTATATTCCATAAATATCTAGG